AGTATATATTCGTGTAAGACGGTTAGATATAGATATACTAACTTCTTAAAATTAGGAAATTAGAGAAAGAAACAAACCTGTAAACCAACGATTAAACAAAACTGATGACTCATGACGCCTCAATAAGTTGGCTGATAAAAGCTATTTAATTACTAAATTGAAAATAATTTCATCATTCACTTAAATTTGTTACTAGAACAATTGTCAAATAAATCATAATAAAATATTATAACAATGAATGAAAAAAGAATTGACGATTCACTTTATCGAATGCATAAACTTTTGAAACACAATATTAACACTACACGTGCTCTCCTCTATTATGACTAGTACTAAGTAGTAAGGGGAGACAGTAAATGTATGCCTAATTTCAGGAGTGAAATAATGTTACTCGACTCCCCAGAACAGAACGTAATTCGCAAACTACTCAACATGCGATTAAGTTGCGTGCATAAAACTGAAACTATAGCTTAGTGTTATAAGAACTCGAGTTACAAGTGATTGGTCAAAAATATGAACATAGCTGCACCTACCAGGTTCCAGTGATATGTCTTATACAATAAGTGCGATTAAGTATCAGTGTACATAACTGTACTAGTTATCAAACAGTTTTTACGTTAACATGACTGCGAAAAAGAAGCCGAGTGGATATACTGAACTCATGGGTCACACAGCATAGACAGATTTTTAATATAGTACATATTCAAAATACCGAGTTTCAGAGCTGTACAACAAAAGTGATGACATTACTGTACTGTCGAGCAAGTAGAGAGTAAGAATACAACTTACTAATCACACTGAATGAGAATCGTACTTAATCACGAAATGACAAATTCGAATTATGGACCACTGATTTCTGGTTCACAGCGTGACTTTAAAGTCTCAGAGCTCCATTCAACATTGGCTCGTGAGTATGTACTGTTGAGAAGTCCCGAACTAGGACGAAAACATTATCTAATATTCTCTGATTTTAAGTGTTTCCTCAGTTTGAGTGAATTCATCAGAAAAGCTACCATCTAACCTGTGTATAATGTTACTTTCCTTTAAAAAACAAAACATTACATACCAATTTTTATCTCTATAGCATGACGCTGATTACTATAGTCATTTTAGCACAAAAATCACTGATTAGCGTTTTAAAAAATGGTAAAAAGATAGGGTTTTGAGGACAAAGCTATAGAAAAATGTTCACACATGACAAATATGAATACTTATAATGTAATATGAATATGGATGAATTATACTTCCTGTTGAAAAACATATATTATCTAAAACTAACCATTCAAAAATTAAACCCAAATACAGCACTATATAAGTAATCATACTATTCTAGAATATAACTTAGTTACTAAACTTCCGTGAAAAATATAACGGATAAATGAAATCATGGAGAGAAAAAATATTGTTACTCCCATTACAGTTTTAAATTACGCTTAATGTAATGTAATATACCACATTTACTTAAGTTAATTATGTTAAAAATTCTAAGAATGTTTCAAATAAAGTTATAGAAAGGTTGTTTATGAAACGAACTAACAAATTCTGTTGATTATTTAAGGCTTTGAATAGTCGGTCTGTAATGTAACCCATCTTCAAATTAAACTGTCATCATGGCGATCCAATGTTAAACAATAAAAGAAATCATCAGTATAGGGGTTGTGGAGATTATTAAGCTTTTGATTGAGATCATGAACCGATTGATGTTAGACCACCGTTGGAAACCTGGAAGCACTGGACGGCCGTTTCGTCCTTTTGTGGGACTCCTCAGAAGTGCGCGAGGAGAGGCAAGGAGAGAATGTATCTTTGCCATTGTGAATGATTTTTAGCCATGTCACCCGCTCCCAATAACTGCCACTTATTCAACGATTATCAGTTGTGGTTTTTATTAAAAATTCTGTTATTATTGTTGTATCTCGACATATGTTACACATGTAGATTTAATGTTGGATCAATTGACTTGTTTTATCAAATCAACGAAAACAATCGATAATTTTTATTTAGAAAATAACTAATTATTCTGAAAAATTGAAATGCTCAACCGAATTTAAACCTTGCCTATCATCACCTATGTAAAGGCATTTAAACACTATCTTTAATGTTCAAGAATTTCAGATACTCCTCACAAATAAAACTTGGACTAATCATTCAATAGAGATGGACTCTCACTTACTGAAATGCGTTTACTTCTTGCCCATGATCTTCCAGACGACTTTTTGCTCGTTTGATCAATACTTACATACGTCACCTGCTCATTATTACTACTTTCTATTGACTTTGAAACTTGATAATCATTTGATTGAAACGATTTGTAAGAAAGTTTCTGGTTATCATGATGTTCAGTTTGATGTGGTTGAATCATGTGAAACTGATTAGAAAATTTGTCGATGTTTTATTGCATTACACTCACTCAGTTCACATCAAATGGGTTGTCATCTCAACGATCTAAATAAATGAATAGGGAAATTCAAAAATCAGTATACACTTTTAAAATTCTAAGAACAGTAACTATAAATACCATATTGATATAAAATTCGAAAACTAACCTGAGATCACCAGTCAATCGATTACCTAGATGAGAGGAACAGTTTGAGTAACAATGATCAAATAGTTATAAATTTGCGACCTCTTTAATATAGTCCCATCAACAAATGTAATGGAGGATATGTATTTCCTGAAATGTAATTAGTATTATTTGACAGATGTCGATTAAGCCTCAATTATCCTAGTGAATCAGAAACAACGTAGCTAGTTAGCTTGAATGACTATGCTACTTTTGTTCAAACAAGTATAAGCACGAAACAATTGTAAGACAAGATTCGACTCTCATTATGTGTAAAACATATGATGAATAATATTTATTCCATTCAGTGAGTTTTAAAAATTATCACTGCACTATTAGTGCTGATATTTATTTTGTCTAATTATTCAGAGCCAAATACAGTATCTCGGGAGAAATTAGTCTTATGGAAGTCGAAAGTAATAAAATCGTTCCTATAACAATTTTTACAAAATCCACCAGTGAAGATGGAAGTTATGAGAGTAAATAAAAAATGCCACATATTAGTGATATCAAGTTAGACACTGACACAAGCATATGCAATACATTGCAACTGTCAAGTGTAGACATAAAGTTTGTGTCAAAAAAGCTGCTAGTTCTGATCGGTAGGTCTGCGTCTGATACATAGTTGCAGAACGCGTAGTCGTAAATGTCATCGACGGTTAGTAACTTTCTGTATTTTAGCAAAGAACAATGATAGGTGAAGTAAAAATACTGTCAAACCTTTGGTAATTTTTTTATTTTCTCATAGTTGTTAGAGTGGATTTGCAATGTGTTACATTTAAGTTGTGTGTTTCACCTCATACGAAATACTATAATTCACCACTTGAATAGCAAGGTTACGATGTCCAATACTAGCATGACGATCAACTTGCAAACACCGCAATACCACCTTGAGAGAAAATAGATCAGTCTCTGGATTACCGAAACAGCTGATGGTTCAGACGTAGCTGGTATGAAACTAAGGGAATCAACTAAATAAACATCCCCTACCCTGACATTTTAGCAAAATATCCTTTAGATTTAACACATCGTGTGATCACTCGGACTCAACATATACCGATTTACTCATGTAAAATCGTAATAATTGAAGTTGCTATTTTTCTTTGTCAATGACTTCAGGAATTATAGTGGCTTAAATAAAAAATTCACAAGTCGTGGTTATAAGCCAACTGGTCTGCAACTGTCTAATGAACACACTCATTGAATACGTAAGATATGTACTATCTCAACTGATATTACGTTTAGAATTTCTGATCCGAGCTATCATCCGGCATTTTTAGATCACTTTTGGATACAGAAGGCTCGACTAGCTTTTGCCAACTTGCGTCATTTATGGCGTAGGTGAGATATCCGTTTATCAACGAAAGGATGGGTTTACTGCGCAGCAGTTTGTTCCATCCTACTTTATGCTGTGAAACATGGCCGGTAAGAGTAGAGGATATCCGTAGGTTACTAGTATTCGACCATAAGTGTCTTCGAAACATTGCTCGTATATCTTGGGACCATCGAGTAAGTAACGCAGTTGTTAGGAAACGGGTACTAGGTAAGGATGGCAAACCAATTGAAGTAGTGAAACGTCATCAGTTAAGATGTCTGGGACACGTGTTACGTATACCCAACCACCGACTGCCTAGACGTGCGATGTTCAATGGTATAGGAGTAGGTTGGAAGAAAGCTAGGGGCGGCCAGACCAAAACATGGCACAAGTCCATGAAGTCACTGACAAGTGGACTGAGTCATGTTGTTAGGTGTAGACTACCTGGTTGGGGACCACTAGATGATAGCAACCGATGGTTAGAGACCTTGAATGACACGGCTCAAAATCGTTTGGAATGACGCAGGTGCATCCACTCTTTGTGTTCTCCCAGATTCTAATCTTCTGTATTCTTTACGTCCCTTTCTTCTCTTTCCAAATTTATTTCACTGAACTACACTCCTTGAATAACATCTTCAAACTCTAATCTTTCCGATTACTGCTTATACTCTTACTACCTCTACCACTATTGGACTTGAATCGACAGTCGTATCTCCTTGCTATTGTAGTATGACAACTTGAAATGATGTGCGTACGTACGTTGTTGCTGACTGACTTGAGATCATTTTATCTAGAGCTTTAAGAATCTATCATTTTTTGTATGACTCATCACTTTTAAAGCAACTTTTTATTGTAGGCTTTCTTTGTATCTATTAAATTTTTTATTTGTTTTCAACCAAATAAACTAACTCAGAATTTACAACAGGTTACTAAACCATTTCAGGAAAATTTCGCATGACCATGACACTTCATAACTGACTAGAAATGCACCAAAGCTAAACGGATTAAAAAGTTGATGAGCGAAAATAGCTACAAAACAGAATGCTTATCTCTATTATTTATTTATTTATTTATTTGAACACATAAATATTGGTACAAGAGAGCGCCAATATATATGCGCCACACAAAACAATGGGAATTCGAAGAGAAGTAGAAAAAAGAACTAAGGAGCGCAAAAGAAAAACAGAACAATGACGAAGAGATTGGAGTAAGGTAGTGTGGTAGTAACGACGGAACGAAAAGGTACAATCAGAAGAAATCTTTCAGGTAAAGGAGACACAACCACTTTTTATGAAGAAAGTAAAAGAAGGTTACAGCAGGATCGCCACTGGCTTCTATTCTGAGCCATATCTGATAACGTCTCTAGCCACTGTGTAGCACCATCTCTCGGACCCTAGCCAGGGAGTCGTGAAGGACCAACACAAGCCAGTCCTTTGCAGCTTTCTTTCATGCCACGACACCATGTCATGCACTGACCACCTCTCCGCTTCTTCCAACCAGTCCCAGAGTCGGCAAATAATGCACGACGTGGAATTCTCTGGGACGACATTCGTAGAACATGTCCAAGCCACCGAAGTCGGTGTTTCAAGATGGTGACACCAATCGAGTTATCATCTCTGTGCCCGAACACACGATGCCGAACCTCTGCATTACTGACATGGTGTTGCCACTGAATGTCAGCAATCCTTCGGAGACAGCGATGATCGAACACAGAGAGTCGTCTAACGTCCTCAACTCGGAGAGGCCAGGTTTCACAAGCATAGAGCAAAACTGCTCTCACCGACGCGTTGTAGATCCGGCCTTTTACAGCCAGACTAACATCACGAAGGCGCCAAAGGTGGCCCAGATTGGCATAAGCCGCTCTGGCTTTCACTATTCGTGCATTGATCTCATCACTCACACCCCCACCAGCACTTATGCAGCTACCCAGATACACGAACTTCTCAACTACGTCTATCTGCTCACCATCCAGGGTGAGTACAGGATTAGAATCCTGCCAGTCTTGTAGAAGTACTTTGCACTTCGAAGGTGCAAAGCACATACCATACCTACGGACACTGATTCCCAACTGATTAAGTGCGGATTGCATGCCTTGGGCATTATCGCACAGTAAGACAATATCGTCCGCATACTCAAGGTCGAGAAGTCTTTCTCCAGGCAACAGATCCACACCACCATTACTTACATTCATCAGAGCTGTTTCCAGAATGTCATCGATGGCAAAGTTGAAGAGGAATGGTGAGATTGGGCAACCCTGCCTAACCCCACTGCTCGAATGGAACAATGGAGAGAGGTGGTTGTATGCCCTCACTCTGCCTGAGGTGTTTTTATATAGGGCTTTTAGGATGTTAATAAACTTCTCAGGCACACCCTTCTTCAATAGACAATCCCAGAGAACAGTCCTATCCAACGAATCGAAGGCAGCCCTGATGTCAAGAAACACTACGATTGTTGGCCTTTGAAAAGTATGGCGGTGTTCTAACATTTGGCGGAGGGTGAAGATATGATCAATACATCCTCGACCAGAACGAAACCCAGCCTGCTCCTCGCGAGTCAATCTTTCTCGGGTTTTGAACAACCTACGAAGAATGACGGAAGCCAATAGCTTGGACGCAATCGGAAGTAAACTTATCCCCCGATAGTTGTTACAAGAACGACGTGAACCCTTTTTAAAGATAGGGACAACTATCGACTCATTCCATGACGTTGGTACACTCTCTAGTTCCCAAACCTTTGTAAACAACGTCGTCAATTCCTTAGTCAAAAAGTCACCACCATCTTTAAAAAGAGCCGGAGGTAAGTCATCTGGGCCAGGTGATTTGTAACGCTTCAAGAGTTGGAGTTCCTTGCGGACTTCCTCCTCATTTGGTGGATCAGTCGTCACCGGCCATGGAGGGCAGGACAGTCTGACCGATGTTGCCGGAGCAGCAGGCCAGTTGAACTGCCCTTCGAAAAATTCTGCCCATCGTCCAAGACGTCGATGGATGTTAGTGATTGGCATCCCATCATCCTCGCAGATTGTTTCACTCACACCAGACTTCTTGCTGCCAGTGGCTCGGATGAGCTGGAAGAGCTTCCGGCAGTTACCAGATGCAGCTGCTGCTTCCAGCTCATTAGCACGCATCGACCACCAGGCTTCTCGGTCCTTACGCAAGCTTTGCCCGATTTCCTTACGTAAAATCCTTCGTTTATGGTCAAACTCACGGTCACCCGGAGTAGACCGACGGGCTTCAATGAGTTGTAAGGAACCAGAAGAAACCCAGTGCTTGTAAGCGGGACGTTTCGCGAACCCACAACTGACTGTACCCGCCATTTTCATGGCGTCATGCAATTGCAACCAATGCTCATCTATACTTTTCGGTGGAGTGGTAGCTAGCCTAGAGGCTAGCTCGGTTCGATACTTACTTGCAACAGAAGTTGCAACCAGCTTGCTAACATCAATCCGTTGATGGCGTTCACTTCGTTGTCCACTGAAAAGTAAGGCAAGATTGGCGCAGACCAAGGCATGGTCAGAGTCCAGATAGGTACTCCAAAAGGAGCGGCAGTCTTGTACACAACCACGCCAGCGGTAGCTGATCGCGATGTGATCAATCTGAGTCCAGGCTTGAGATGCAGAGGGAGGACGCCAGGTGGCACATCGGCGATGACTGTGCCGAAAGTTAGTGCTAGCCAGAAACAGGTTGTGGTCTGTGCAAAGTTGCAGTAGACGGTCCCCGTTATCTGACCTGCGACCAACGAGTCCCCATCGGCCACCTAAACGACTCTCTTCTGTGCCTAGACGCCCGACCTGAGCATTCAAGTCTCCGGCTAGTACTACAATATCTGTCGAACGCACTTTCTGGAGAAGAACTGATAACTGGTGGTAAAACTCATCCTTGATTGCATCCGGGCTGCAATCTGTCGGGGCATAGGCGGAGATGACGAAAAGACATCGTTTCTCACGCCGATTTCTTCTCACTTTGATGGCCCCCTGAATGCCCTGGTACGGCCGAGAGTGGGGAGAGTCCGCTCTCCCTCTCGAAATACTCTCACACGGCCACGCGTATATAGCCTCTGCCAGGGAAGTCCTACTCATTGCCTTCTCGTGGCGGGGGTGTTGTTTACGAAAATGAGAGGACGAAAAGCGAATGTCCGGCGCTTTAACCGGATTCCAAACCAATGGTGCACATGGGCTCCAGTATCCTGCGGGAACGAATGGCGTATGAACCAATCGTTGGTCACCGGCTACCATGGGACTGCATCTCCTTACGATGCCCCACTGCCTTGTGGGTTAGACCCTTAGGTCAAAGGCTCGGGGAGTGGCCCCCTAAGATAACCACCTGCTTCGGTTTGGGCACCCGGGCAGTATCACAGCCCACACACAAATGACGAACTCTATGCCAAATGATGCTTATCTCTAGCAAAATATTAACCACAAAACACTAATACAATGAACAACTAGATATACTTTAAAATAAAACACATCTATAACCATTGTAGAATACATAATATATAACTCGTAACAGTTTATTTAGAAAATGAGTGAAACGAGTGTAATAAAGCTGAATAACCTCAGTGACCAATAAATCTGACCGAGGTCTCACCCTGTAAATCGTAATACAAAAGTGTGAAGAAACTAGCTTTTAAGGTAAAATTAAGTAAAAGAAATTAGTATATGGTGACCGGCTGCATATAAACGTTTCTGCAAACAGACTTCAACCTGATTAAGTACAGAATGCTGCTTACCTGAAGCGATTCTCATAAATGAAGTCCTAGAACTTCCCAATAAGGTAAAGAAGTTGAGTCTGACATTAGACAATGAGAAGACTATGAGAGTAACCACCAGTGCTATCGGTTAAGCTTTTAACATGGATAGAAAGGTTGAGACTTGCATGGTCAACATACATAAAGAAGAAACCTCAGTCCAGAATATTATTATGAGTAGTCGTCTAGCGCTGTCAGGACAAATAGATCACCACCCATCAAAAGTGCACTCACTCTAAATGTTATTGATGGGGTGAACGCAACTGAACGATGTGCTAAGAGCAAAACTTTCTCAACAGCCAAACTAGGTAAAATAAATGAATTAGTCCAAACTTCATGACAAAAAGGACAATTAAAGAAGAGGTCCCGGTAGTTAGTGGGAAGGGAACAGTAATGATACGATCGGAAGCCGTAAACACGATTCCTAGAGAATTTAAATCCATCCCTAGTTTAATTATTTGGAATCGGCATTCAAAATAGCAATTAGCCTGATAAACGTCATTCACAAGATCTGCCATCTGTAGGATCTGCTGTCAGAAATTCAAAGCCAGGAGAGGCACTGAGAATGTATGTTAATAAGGTGATGAAACTCGGCAAGTGGGTTGAGGACGGAGCACAACCAAAGAGGTTCTTACATTTATTACCTGAAAGTACGACAGAAAGAATGTTATGCCAAACAATCCACATGAGATTCGTGACTGGAATATTCATATACAACCAGTTAAAAACCCGAACCTTTGGATTCAGGGTCTCCAGGTAGTGGTCTTTGGAGTCAATACTTTATAGACTTATATGGGTAAAACGGGTGACTAAGAAAACACCGTATGTGCTGTACAAACGTTCACAGCCTTCGAAAAAATCAAGAAATATATGTAAACTTACTATGGCTTGTCCTTGCACTATTTATAAGGTAGTCAGCACACCATACCCATACCTGATCAAAACGATTTCTCGTAGATTAATCGAAGTGAAAGACGAAATGATTACATCGCTATAATTTTTATTTACTTTATTCGTACGAGTGCGCGGAAATCCTTTTGCTGAAAGAATCGCTTTTGGTTGTAATGACCCACCCCCTTGAATATTGCCATTGTTTTATTCCCTTATTTCTATGCGCTCGTTAATTCAAATTATCTCAACCCTTTTTTCTGTCTCTTCACAATCTCATTTTCTTAAGAAAATAATTATTTTGTGACGTATGTATATTTTGGTGCCTATTTGATTGGAATATCATATATATGTAATCTATAGGTCAGTTTTGAATCAAAGACAATTTTATAAACTATAAAAGTGACAATAACTTAAAGGTATATAGGAACTTCTACAAAAATACCTAAAATCACAATCCGACGCAGTAGGTCAAGACTAAGCGTCCATAAAGCACATCAAGGTCGTTTGCTAAATATCTAATATCCTCGCGAGAGCTTATACAAACTATTTGATGATCCATATGTTAGTACGGAATTATTAGGTCTCCTATTGAGGTTGTTCCTTGAGTTGACTGTGGTCACTTCAGCAGTGAGATTATTCTAAATAGTGTCTACTCTTAGTGAAAAAAAGCGTGGACATATGAATTTTCACTCTTTATGGTACATAGTTTCGCGAATTCCCTCATGGAGTACAGTGATGTGTCTCTGGTAGGATATTCGTGTTGAGACGACTTGGAGTGTCTGGTGTATTATGAGCCGCTATCGGATCATCTCTAATTCTCCCCTAGCTCAGCGAGAACAATCTTGCATTGAAATTTATCTTATCGTGATTTGTTTCTCGGTCCTATCACAATTCTTGTCTGTTTCTGTACTTTTCTATGCTTTTTTTGAAGACAGAGGGGTTAACATAGTCGTAAATTTTGAGATCAGGCTAAAAGTACTTTTTCGAAGTGTCAAATGCAATTCTGGAGTGACTGAACTAAGTTGTCTTCGTATAAAGTGAGGAGTTGGTTTTGCTTGGTTTGAACCTGCAATGTAATCTAAGCTCTGTGTGGTTACTAGTCCTAGATTTCGTTCTAAGCTGACGATTTATGGTAGATATTAATCAAAGATGCAAGTTTTCTGTGTCCTATAGAACTGAATATGCATAACGTGGCACTTCGACAAGCTAACTTTCAACCAATTGTCAGCCTCGCGTTCCCTATTATTGTGTGGTCCATTTACAGCCAGAGTTAATTCTTTCCACCTCTTATAAACCTGCATATCTTACCATTTTTAGAGTATGCGAGAGTGAAAGATCTTATTTTATCTAGGAGGTAATTTTAGAGCAAGGATGAAAATGTATCGAGACCTTTTCGATGGAGAATGGGTACCTTATTGTTCCAAAAGCTATTCCGAAATCAAAGGGTGTTACACGAACTGGTATCCTTGTCATGATAATTTCCCTGTCGTCTCATGTCAGGAAAATGTTGAGCGTGCACGATCTTTTTAAACAACTGTTGGGGTTCACGAAGGATGTTGTTTCTGTTGGAGATGCTAACGGTATTCGGAGTTTGACAACGCTTTAACCAGTAACATCTAATACGTTCTGGAAATCTTACTCTTCTTCCAGAACGCGTTGTTTCAAGTTTATTTTCTGATACTACCGAAGTATCATCGTGTGTTGGCTGTTGGTTGAGGTATTATAAGTGTAGGAGTCGTGTCGTGCGATTGTACCGAAGGAAACTCGACGTGAATAGGATTTCCTTCTAAGTACACTGCTTTTAAGCAGTCGATTCTGATGCTATCGTTTGTTCCGTTCTTCTCGATTATATAGTACTTAGATTCACGTTGAAAAAATTTGAAAAGTCCTTCGTTTGATGATTCGAAAGGTCGTCAATGTGAGTCTCGACGAACGAAAACGTGTGTACTATATCGTAAGTCAGGTTGAACGAAAACATCAGTTGATTGTGGTCGAGTGGAAGCAGGTTTAACTGAACGCATTGCGTTTGTAAGCCTGTTCGTGTAGGAGGTTAGATCCATGCTCATTAAAGAGGATGACGGATCCACGAATTCTCCTGGAAGTCGGAGTGTCGTTCCATAAACGAGTTGAGCCGCAGTGTATCCAATTTCAGCTTTCATCGCATTGCGAATACCTAGTATAACGAGTGGAAGAGCGTTAGTCCACTGAGAAATGTTTGCAGCTGATAATGAAGCTTTTAGTTGTCAGTGAAGGGGTGCTACCAACCCGTTTGCCTGTGGGTGGTAGGCGGTCGTTCGGAAGCGAGTGATTTCTAATAGTGCGGTCAGACAACGGAAAAGTTCGGATTCGAACTGGCGTCCGCGGTCTGTAGTGATGGTCGAAGGGCAGCCAAAGTTTGCTACCCATCGTTCGACGAAGGTGCGGGCCACTGTTTCAGCAGTGATGTCATTGATAGGTACTGCTTCTGGACATCGAGTGACACGGTCCACGCAGGTTAAAAGATAAGAGTATCCATTTGAATCTGGTAAAGGTCCTACCAAATCCAGGTGAACATGGTCGAAACGAGCATCGAAAGTTTTAAATGAGCCTAAAGGACATTATTTGTATCTGATAACCTTAGATTTTTGGCAGCTTACACAGGAGCGTGCCCACTCTCTCACGTCTTTATTCATGCCAGGCCAGCAAAACCGTTCTGCTATAAGCTTGATGGTTGCACGAACACCTGGATGAGAAAGTTTGTGCAACGTATTGAAGACGTTGCGTCGATAACGTTTCGGCACGATTGGGCGATCCCTACCTGTAGATGTGTCACAAAGTAAGGTTTCCTTACCTGTTCCCATCTGTTTGATGCGTAGTTTAAGGGTTGTGGACGATAACTCATGCTGAAGATCAGTGTCTTCTTTTTGAAGCTCTGAGAGTTTGAGAAGGTCGATTCCTTGGAAACTGTTCAAGGAAATTATGCGAGATAAGGCGTCTGCAACTACATTGTTTGCTCCAGAGATGTTTTAAATGTCTGAAGTAAACTGCGAAATGTAGTCCAGTTATCGAGACTCACGAGGTGAGTACTTGTCTGAAGTAGAGCTTAGAGAGAAGGTGAGTGGGTTATGGTCAATGAAAAGAGTGAATTCACGGCCTTCGATATAGTGTTGGAAATGCCGTACAGCACAATATATAACTAGGAGTTCCCTACCGAATGTGCTGTACCTTGATTCGGTGTCCAGCAAA